ATGTATATCAAATACTGGCAAAAGTGTACTGGCTTTAGCTTACATTTCATATGAAGCTATAACTTATAAAAAAATATATCACATTCATTCGCTCCGCCAAGGAGGTTATGTTTTTAGGAGAATTTGTGTGTGTGTGTATAATAAAATTATGATTTTAAATGGTGGTCACAATAGCTTGTTATTTAACCAACTGTAATTTGATTCTACAACAGTATAACAGTAATTCCTTGTATTTTATGTAACTTCATGGTCAGATGCAGATGGTAGAAAGCCTGACCTTAGCACTCCATTATACTTTCTCTAAATCCCAATCAGACCACATTCCTTTCACTGATCTCTCCCTTTTTTAGTGACTAGCTCAAATTTGCCAGCATTACCAGTTAGATTAACTTTAGCAGCTTTTGCAAAATAGATCCCCAAAACTCCACGGCTACCGTACATGGCAGATTGTGAGATCTTTAATGGATGTGTGAATTTTATTACACAATGAAAGGTAATTTAAATGTTCAGAACTTATGTTTTAAAAATGTTCTGTTTTAAAACATGCCAGTAGTGAGCATCCGGGACTGAAAAACAACCAAACACAATTCACTCCACAGCCTATCCTCGGGTTAGAGAGGCTGTTGACAAGCACTCTGGTGAGTGCATGCACTGTCAAGCATGCTTAAACATGTGTTTTAGGGCCATGAGTGGTTTGACTTTAGCTGTCTTTGTAGATAATCATTGGTTTTATCAGAAGAGGCATTTTGCTATTTTCGATTACAGCTTCTGAATGTGTGCTTTTTGCTAATCATAATCTTGCTATTTTTGAGAAACTGAATGTTTTACCATTAAATCATTTCAATATCTTCAATGAAAAGTTTTTTTCTTCTTTTTGGATAAGATTGATATATTTTTTATTGTTCCTGCACTGCATTTGTACTATATGTGTAGCTTTTGGTAAAGCAAGCCCAAGACTCACCATTCTATATTTATCATATTGTCATACATGCTATGCTCAAACCACAAGCATACATTTATATATGTGAAAGTATTTGGGTATAGAGCATCTTATCTTAATCTTTTTGGTAACAAATGTTAAATTGGATGAAAACTTAAGATTTTTGAACTCCAGTAAAATTCAGCTTTTCTCTCTGTCTACCATCCCTCCTTTTAGTCCTGCTTCGCTTTATTCTGCACTTCACTGTGCAAACCTCCTTTCTGCTTTGCTCCACATTGCTTAAAACATTACATTATGAAAAGTTATTCACTCCTGAACGTGCTTTTACATGGGGATATGGGGACATAGAAATCACTTGCTCCACCCAGGCACTTGCATTCTGTGTTAATGCACATGTAGGACCTTGTGCTTCTCCACCTTTCTTTGACGATGCCATACAGGTCTGCAGACATGCTTAACAAATTCAGTAAGTTTGCCCTTAGTTTATTTAGGAAGGCAGGATTTTGTCTTTCAGGTGACTTTGGGAAGGTTTTAATGTTGGAATACTTCCTCTACCCACCTCTTACTTATCAGACGTGGGTAGAGTACCAAAAAAATTTATTCAAGTAAGAGTAGCACTACTTTAACAATGTTCTACTCGAATAAAAGTAAAAAACTGTCATCCAAGAAATTACTCAAGTAAAAGTTTAAAAAAAAGTATTCGGTGGAATGTCTGTATGTATGTTAAAGTACATATTGGCATTAATGGTTTCTCAATTGACCCCCCGCAGCTGACAGAACTAATGCTTCTGGAAATTAAGTCTGGTCCACCACCATGCAAAGCCATTACTATTGCATTTGTATTTTTAATAGAACTCATTATTTTTTGTAACAGCAACTTTGGTCATGGCGTTGCATTACGATCACACCCATCATGAAAGGGTCAGACAATAAGGGCATGTTTATTGAAAAATGTGAGTGACATCATGTGGTCATGCAACACTATCACTTTTGACTTACAGCAGATATTTACTTGGAAATTAATTATTTCAGTTGTTTTTTTTTTCTGTTGTACGAGACTTTTTAAAAGTTTAGGTAAAGTGAAATTAACTGTTTAAAAAAAAATACTAATTTTCAATTGGAACACCATAACATTTTTATTTTAGAACAAACTTGGACATTTCACTTTTTTTTTGATCCATGAGTGGCTCCTTGGTTCCGTGGCTCCCTTTATAAATCAAATGATATATTGTTTCCCGGTTTTTTGTATAATTTTGTTTTCCTGGGCCCCCATGAAAAATATACTGGCCCCAACCTGGCCCCCTTGGTGAATCTTTTTTTTAGAACCATCACTGCCTGAGTACTGACAGAGCCACCCCTGATTGCTATAACCTCTACAGCAATGCTGCCAACACTCATAAAAACAATTTCCGGTTATGACAGTGAGCATTTGCACTCAACTTCTTTGAATCATTGAGATTCATGAGTGGAACATGTTCTTTTAAACTGTTTTATAGTCCTGACCACAGCTCAATTTAAGCATGTTGGCATCTTTACACAAAACAACAATTTTTCATTTTCAGATCTTTAGAGTTTTTTTTTTGCGTTTTTTTTGTGAGGTGCCATTTGGAATATCCAGCGACCAATGCAGGAGTGTGAGAGAGATAACAACAACTTTTAAGCACCTGAAGGCACAAGATTTGAAATGGAGACATTTTAATTCTAACAATTCATTTTACCCTGGGCAGGGGTAAATGGTTCATCGGGCAGGTTAAAATATTTACAAATATATGAGGGATGTACTACCTTTGTGAGAACTTTATGTCTACACTAAGGCACAATAACACAGACAAGTTAAATGCCTTGTCTAATGCAACTACATACTGTTGTGACTTTATGCTATTTAAATTTATACTATTTAATAAATGTCTGCATTCTATTGTTATTCTTTGAACACAAGCCCAACTGGCTGAAGGGCAAATAAGTAAAAGAAGAAACAGTAAACTCTGCACAAGTATGTAATACATTAACAAGAACTCCCAATCAATATATACAAATTTATCAACAAAAATTATCTAATAAAATTTTATTTCAATTCAATTTAATAATATAGCACTATTCACAACAATTAAAGGCACTTTACAGAGACAATTCAATCCGCAAAACAGTCAGCTAGCTTTTGCTTCTGTTGACTTGCTTTACTCAACAGTGGATATGTCAAGCTGGAAAAACGTTCCTTATCTTGCAAGACCTGTAACCTCTGTAGAGGAGGCCAGGTGCATCTTTTTCTGGGTCTCCTGGTTTACAACATATGAGATCTCTGGCTCCAAGTTATTGCTGTAAATCAGAGAGAAAGTTGCAGACAGTTTGCTTTGCAGAAATCCGGTTCTCGAAGTAGCCTAAAGGTCCACTTAGCTTTTAAGCAGTCTAAAGAGTGAGATTCCCTGGGCTGTAAAATATTATATTCTCCAATGTCGCTTTCTCTCTTTAGATCCTTAGGAAAGATAAAGAGTGTGGGGGTTTGCAAAACCTTTATACCAAGCACAGTAGGCATCACATTTTCCTATGAGTGTTTAAGCTTGGAGAGTAGAGAAAAGCATCTTGCTCTATCAATGTTTAAAATCAATATCATGGCTTATGGCATATCACTTGTGTGTTACGTCTAAAAAATTCAAATATATGGAGTGGACAAAGAACATCATTAAAACACAAGAACACACCAGAAATGTTATGGAAAAGTTGTTGAGACATTTAAAGCAGGGTTAAGTTAAAAGAGAGCATTAACCTAAGGGATCCCAAGCTCCCATGGTAACTTTGGGAAAGCTAAAGAGATCTTTAAATCTCTTTCAACAATCCGTCGAGGGAAAGCATTAAGTTCACATATTTCTAAGTTTAAACATTTATGTTTACTCATTGTAAGATTGCGATCTTAAACTAAAACCACTGTCTAAGATTGGACATGTGAAAGTTTTTTGTATATAAGAAAAATTTTAAGCTGTTATTTATGTTCTGAAGCAAGTCAGTTTCTTTTATATCTAGTGTGCCACATCATCAAATAAATAAATGCAATTGTTTGTTCACAATAAGCTCCCCTCCTAAGAAGGGAAAAATCAGTATTGGTTGACATCGCTGTATGTATTCCTGTTAGGTAACTACCAGAAACTTGGAGAAATCTGCCTCCATGTTCCTGTGTGTGATTGTTGGAAAATTGTTAGCAAACCAACTTACGGACATGTGAAACATTACGGACAGGGGAAAGCTGATGGGTAGAGGCGTTTGAAAATGCCAAACTGTTTGATAATAATAATTAAACTTTATTGATCTCATATTGGAGAAATGTACCTCTGTATTTAACCCATCCCCTTGGGGAGCAGTGGGCTGCCATTGTGTGGTGCCCCGGGAGCAGTGTGGGGTTAAGGGTCTTTGCTCAGAGACCCACAGTGGCAGTCTGTGGGAGTGGGGCTCAAACTCAGAACCTCAGGATTCCAAGTCCTATGCCCTAACCACTTATTAATTTGATTAGTTCCTCTGAGTTCACTTTCCATAAAAAATATAAAACAAAACATTTGCAAATACAAAAGAATGTCATTTACCATCAAACCTAGTCTTAAATTGGACTGTTTTAACACATACAGTATATAGATATACATATTAACACAGATATGAGGATACTAAAGTGTTTCCCTAAAGGAAACCACATAAATGTGCTGGGGTGATTTCTTAGAGATTCCCACACACACAGAAAACGCTTTTTTTTTTTTAAAGATGTATCCCACCTGCCTCAGCATTATCTCTAGCTTGTTTTTAGCTACCTTCATGCTCTCAGGGAAACAAAGAGCAGAAAAGGAAACAGATTCAACTTTTGTATTTTTCCTCTTTGGAGTTTCAACCAGCACCAGACACCCTTGTGCCTTTATTCACTTGCTTCTCTGTTTCACTTTGGACACTGAGTCATATCAGCTGTACGGCTCTTTTACACATCACCTTAATCATTCCTGATAAAGCATAAATAAAGCATTGCCCCTGCTGCATTTGTGTTTTAAATGAGTTTACTAGGTCTTGTTTGGGTTGTTCCCCACAGTGGAGCGATGCATGAGTGTGATGCAGTCTGGGACTCAGATGGTGAAGCTGAAGGCAGGATCCAAAGGACTGGTTAGACTCTTCTACCTGGATGAGCATCGGTCCTGCATCCGCTGGAAGCCTTCACGCAAGAGTGAGAAAGCCAAGAGTGAGTAGGACTTTAATGTACTCATCTGCATGCAGTAACAGTTTGGCTGTATGGGTTCTATCTTTTGTGTTTTGCTTTCTTTTAACATACATCAAACTCTGTCAAAATCATATGGAATAATTATAAAACTATAGAAATATTCATTGTTTGATTTTTATTTGTTTTTTCTGCTACTTAAAGTTGCACAGGATAAGCAGAAGGGGTTTTGAGCGCAAAACACACTTGTTAGCTCTAAACACCTCATTTGAACTTGGCCAAAACCTGTTATTTTGACAAACATGCTTCTTTTCTACTGCAACCTCAACACCTTATGAAAAAGCTAGAATAGTATTATTTCCTTAAAAAACGATAATTTTGAGACACTTGATCCAGTTTGGCATATGATCTGAGAAATTATTTGTTTGATACCTGTAGCAATTTAAACATGTTTTAATTAAATGGGCAGACCATTCCTGATTCTCTGCGTCTGACTTTCCAATCAAGATAGACCAGGGGGCTATTCTTTTAACCTATAACAAAGTTTCATGAGAATCTTATCAGTAAAACCGGAGTCTCGCTAGCAAAGTAAACATTTTCTACCTATGGGAAAATACAAATTAGAATGGATAAATTCAGATATGAAAATGATATAAGTTCTGAATGTGTCATGCCCTGGCCTGGCCCCCTGCTGCTGCACTTAGAATCAGCTGCAGCTGTACTCTTCTGTTACAGTGTAATCAAACTCATACTCTACACCTGTTTGGGCTTTATATACTGGGTCCCCACAGACCCCTGTTGCCAGATTATTGAAAGCCTTCTCTCGATATTTGAATTTCCCTGCCTTTCTTCACCAGGACATTATACTGTTTTTTTAATCAATCTTTCAAAAATGCCCACTATGTTTCGCTAATATTAGGTTCTGTATTGATCACCTAATAGAATTATAATATTCTATTAGAATAGAAGATCACCTAATAGAATTATCTGGGCAATATGAACCCATTGCTGGCATACATAATCTGTTCAGGAGTCATGCTCATAGACCCTGACTTATGGATTCAGCAGTAGAAGAATAGAGGTATGAGACACCTTCAAGGTATCCAAACTGGGTTTTCTGTTACCTTGGTTAGACGTAATAAACTGAAAAAGACTCTGTTAGGTTTATGCCCACGATATTAACCACCTCATACATTTTACTCTCCATCTATACCCAGAGTTGGAGAAGAACCATAAAGAGTTGGAATGGGATTATAAGGCAGCAGTGAGGATGTTCTGCTGGCACCAATAATTGCATTTCCCTCAACTAGCCCACCACATTGCTGCTGTAGAGCCTACTCCTAAAACCTTGACTTCTGCTTGTCCCTGGGGGACACCTCAGCCTCTGCTCACACCTCTGAGGGTCGGGGGAAACCTCAGCCTCCCCTCATATTTGACCCTAACTGACCCCTTGAGCTTAAGTCATCAGGGATCCAGGCAATGCCTTGGCTCAAGACAGTCTTGCAAAAAAGAATACACAAATTTAAATACACAGATTAATGCAGTGAACTTACACAATCACAATAATCCCGGTTTATGTTATAAATTTGTCTACATTTTACTCCTCAATTTTTCAGTATCCCTTATTTTTTCCGAGAGCATCTGTAGAGCTTTAAAATAATCTGAATCTACCAGCCACATTGCTGCAGCTCTGAGGGGATTAACAATAAACACTGCATTGCCCTGTCAAAGCATCATTGTCGCTTCTTTATCATGTAGGATTCACTCATCTTACCCGCTGCAGCAAACATCTGTCCACAGGCACCCAATTGTGTGTAAATGTGGGTATCTTTTTTAGTGTGTATGCTAGGGAAATGTCAAGCTCTGATAAGCTGCTTAGATCATCTCTCTTGACATAATGAGAAAAAACACAACAACTTCCAGGTTATTTACTCGAATGTGCATGTTTGTGTGTGTGTGTGTGTGTGTGTGTGTGTGTGTGTGTGTGTGTGCGCGTGTGGGTGTGTGTTTGTTCAGGATCAGAACAAGGCTGCCATATTGTTAGTAACAGCAGTATTTGAGAGATGAGATTATGTAACAAGATATAATAAAATTGAATGTATTTGGACATTTTTTATGCATTTCTAAGGAGATTCTAAACAATGGAACTGGTGATCATTTAAAAACACAAGATTTACTGTTTGAATTAAATAAATGTTTAATTTTGATGAGTTTCTTAAAATGTTTGAAAGTAATTTCACAGTGGTAGACACATGCACAGGTTAAAATGCATGAGTAGCTTTTGTATAGAATTCAGAACAGGACACAATTCACTGCAGGCTGTTCTTAACACAGACAGGATCTCAGATGGCCAAGTTCACACAAATCTCATTAGACTGTGAAAGTCTCTCAAGCCTTAAGCAGTTGCTTACTCTGTACTGTTTAAAAGGATAGACTAAAGCAGACAAAGTGGAGGAAATAATTTGTCGAGTTCATGGTTTATTTTAAAGGGATAGTTCGGTATTTTTGACATGAATCTGTATGGCATCCCCATCACCAGTGTCATGC